TCGCAGGCTCTAATCCAATCAGGATACAATTCTCAGGAAACAGAAAAGGCGCTAATCCAATCACCGAACGCACACGGCCGACGTAAGGCCTTCTAGCTGGCCCTAGTACGCAGACGAGTAGATCGATCACGAGTCACTCGTGATCTGATTGGCTATTGAAACCCGACTGTGCCCGTTCATTTACAGCGCACAGGGGCCTGCTCTGTTTCATCTGAAGGCCCCGAGCAAGTTTAATTTACCTGGCAACGCAAGCTAGCTGAAATATGATTGGTTAAAAACTCTACCATAATAAATAAGTTATTTATCGAGTGTCTTTCAATGTTATTGAAAGCCACTCGACTCAATGGAAATAATATGACGTAAAGAATACAGAGAATAATTTTGTTAACATATTTATGAAAATAAAATAACAAATTTATCTTATTCTCAGAAAAGTAAGAATGTTTAGGCCAGCAGAGAAGGCCTTGCTGGCCCTGAGGGTCCGCCACTGGTGAAGACATTTGGAAGGACCACCATAGAAGCAAACACAAACAAATGATTGAAAATATCGCTCACCCGGGCCACATGCTGTATTCTGATGTTTCGACTTCAGCACTGTTAAATGTCTTGGTGTTTGTGCACAATGTCCTCAAACTGCATTAATGAATAAACGTAGTAGTTGTGTACAATTGGACATCATAGTGTGACTTTGCATCAGTGCCTTTGTTGTTCTATTCCATGTTCCCACTGCTGCTTGTCTGAATCTGTTACAGGTAGCAGTGATTTGGCTAGCCAAAGTTAGTGACGTGAGGCTGTGCCCAATTCACCGTTGCCGCCAGTCATGTTTTTTTTCTCGCGTCCGACCAATGACAACATCTTGGCCCTGTGCTAAAAGTCTTTCCATCTAAAACAAAAAAATGCATTTCTGCCGGTCGTGACTTGGAAATTTAGACTGGCCTGGTCGAACCATCGCATGCAGGTGTGTAGTAGCCAGATGCAGCAGGCCACTATTAATGTCGAACCCTGCCAACCTTGCTGACATGGCTACTCAAGCACCCAAAAATTTCAAGGGGAAAAAATGAGCTGAATGTCTATTTTCCCCCAACATCATCATCTAATATCTGACACAGTGTAAATGATGCAACTGGTCAATTCATATTTACAATATGCACTGTGATGGTCCTAACCTGCTCTCTCTGCTGGTGAATTTCCTCTTTTGACAACAGCTGGATTAGGACTCACACTGTTGTCACGGTCCACAAAGGTGACATTTTCGTGTCTCCGCTGGGGACTCCCACCTATTTTACATTTTTTTTGGAAGTTGTCCTGGTTTATTTGCCAAGCAACTGGTCTTGAGGGGGGTTAAGTAGTTGCTCACGCTGTTCCAATCAGGGTTTGAGCTGCCAATACCGATACTGAGCATCCATGGGTGTGACTGCCTGATACTGCTCATGCGGATTCCTTGAAAATGTTTCACTTGCAGAGTTACAATTACCGATTTTTCTTAAATAGCCAGTCAATCATTTTTTTCATACAATTGAACAATCAGGTAAAAAAAAAATATATATATATTAGTTCAATTTCTATTCCTTTATTACCCCAAAACAGGGCATAGCTTCAAATAGACATTGCAGAAAATGCATTAAACCAATTTTGATTCAGTCACTATGTTGGTCTTGTAACATTTTTTTCGCTGTCTTGTGTTGACAAATAAACATTTGCCATTCTTGAGACTCGGGTAGCCATATTGAGTTTGTTGTACCAAAAGGATCTGACTACCTTTTTATGTTACACACACAAGTCTGCTGTTGCAATGTAATTTTTTTTTTTTTTTTTCTGATTATGCTTTTTTTGCATTTTGTTTGCTAGGGACTGTTTCGAACAGTACTTCCTTCACAAATTCAGGGCCACACTGGGCAAAAACAGAGTGATTTTCCCTGGAGAAAAGGTATGGCATTTTCCTTTGCACTAATTCATAATACATATCAATTTTGTTTTTATGTTGCCAAAGCTTAATCCAGATACCGTGCAAAACTGGTTTACAGGCTGTGAGTAGTGAAGGCATGACATCGTAGAGCAAACAATTAAGTCTATGCTGCAATGTTTTCTCCATTCATTCAATTTTTTTTTTTTAAAGTAATCAGCAGTACATTGTGGGTTGGTGGCACCCAAATTGCTTATTATGGACCAGAAATAATGCAGAAAACAAACTTTTTGTGAAAAGATTATCTTTTATGGCAACAGTGACCTTTATGCTCATAGTTTTTGCTTTAATGACATCTCATATCTGAACAGTCCTTTTCTTCTATACAACAATGAAAATGTGCTTTTTGATGGCAAAATAGTTTACAAATAAAATCACCACAGTAAGAATTTTTGTGTTTGTGGGCACGTCTGCACATTATGTTGTTTCTTCTGTTTCTAAATTTAAATAATCCTCATCGCTTCTCTCTTTGTAGTAAATTTAATGAGACAAACACTTTTATCAATCACGGGGTGTGGTCGCGTCATATTTCCAAAGATCCAACAATCCACCATATTTGTTTACAAGCCTCTGCATTGTTTGCACATGCTCATTGAAAATGGGTGTTCTCCAACACTTATCTCTCTTGTCGCTGCACCAGAATTTTAGAAGATATTACACGCAATGCAACAGTGGCTACAATTTATTAAACACCCAATTAAGTGCCCACTATTTGGATCTTAGGAAATAAAGCCCCATGTGCTTTCTTTTCGTGATGGCTCTTATATGATCATTACGTTTTTCTACTTTTAGGTGCTACTTGCTGTATCAGGGGGTCCTTCTTCTTCTTCAATGCTCAGACAAGTCCAAGAGGTCTACCTGTGCCATTTTTATCACAATGAATTTTTGTATTCTAATAGGGAAACCAGAAGTGGGGAAAAAAAGTCTCGTCGTTGGATCTCTCTCAAGCAGGGGTGTCAAACTCATTTTTGTCGCGGGCCACATTGTGGTTACGGTTTCCCTTGGAGGACGGTTATGAATTTTGGGAAATCATGTAAATGTTGAATCACACCTCCACATATGACAAACACAGCGCACAAAAAATTGAAAGATAACTAGTTTTAAAATCAGAAGTCAAGAATTATTGCTGATTACATATGACAATTTGAAATTTTGGTTCAGACTTTAGCAAGCATCATGGAACTTGGCATGCTTGATTTGCTTTTGCAGGCTACATAAAATGATGTGGCGGGCCAGATCTGGCCCCCGGGCCTTGACTTTGACACCTGTGCTCTAAAGACTGTCTTGACCAATTAGTCTGTGTTGTGGGGAGTGTGAAGAGTGCTTTCTTTTTTTCCCGTAAATGTTACAACTCTTTCCTTGAATGAGATGGTAGTTGCGACATCTTCATAATTAATATGATGTGTGTGTGTGTGTGTGTGTGTGTGTGTGTGTGTGTGTGTGTGTGTGTGTGTGTGTGTGTGTGTGTGTGTGTGTGTTGCATGCTTTTCATCCAAACTACCATGAAAATCAAGAATTCACTTTTCACACTTATTTTCTCGCCTTGAAATACCTGCTCCTTCTCCGGATGGGAAAATATTAAATTATTTTAGAGGCAGAGAGCTTGCGTCCTAAGGCATGCAATTTGCTTGGCTAAAACTAATGAAAGTCTTGACTTGACTTTGACTTGGTATTCATCAGCCTCTGTGTCCTATTTGGTGGTCATAATAGTTTAGGATTTTTCATTATAGTTGGTTATTTTTTTTGTTTTGGGTGTTTTTTTTTTTAATTCAAGTAGTTTTAATTAGTTTTTAGAGGAGGTTTGCTAGTTTTCCTTAGTTTTTAATATTTTTCTGAAAACACTTCGCTTTAATTTAGTTTTTAGTTGTTTTCGTTTTCTTAACGTATGGATTGGTCGAGTGCAAGATAAAAACAAAAAGGTCATTAAGCAAGTATTGTGTTATAAAGTAAACTGTACAGCAGTAACAAAATAAATACGTACATTTAAAATGAACCCCGAAAGCCCCTGTATACTAATTGAGAATGATGAAAACAAAGGACATTTTTGCTGTCGTTGTAGTTAATATTTAAGTTGGATGTAGTTTCAGTTTGTCTTTTTAAATTTGTTTTTGTTTTCGTTCAAAGCATTTTCATTTCTATTTCATTTGGTTAATGGAAATGTCCAAAATTTGTGTTTATTTTGTTTGTTTTCTTTAACTATGCTACTCTGGGCCAACCATCGACATTATATCATAGTAATTGATGAAAAAAATAAAAACGAATAAGCTGACATTTTTTTTCTAGCTTGGAAAGGTTTCAGGTGGTGAGAGACGGTACTACTTCCCTCTGTTTGAATTGGAATGGAAGAAGCTCACTGTAGGTCCTGTTAAATATTAAAGCCAAGATGCTGCTAACTGATTAAAGTGTTATGATTCTATTTCATAAATGTGGGAAATGCAATTAAAATATATACAATGGTTACATTGATCTCGCTAGGCTGGGAGATCAGCCCCCCAAAAACTCTTACCCTCGAATGGTCTGGGCAGGAGAATTGGCATACCTTAAAAGTGTGCAAGCCAAGCATGTTTTAAAAAAAAAAAAACTGCATTTGCACAAATGGGAGAATATAGGCGAATATGCATCACAAGGTATAAATTTCAGATTGTCAAATACTGACTGTCTTGTGTTTTTTTTTCCCTAACTAAACATGCTTGAGGTCAAAAGTCAAGGCTATGCACTTTCGTTTTGCAATTCAACAAATCAAAACAGATTTCTTGAAAACTTCTCAACCTACGGAATTTCTTATTAATGGCCCAGCATAAAGTTACTCAAAAGATAAAATCTTTACAAATGAATACGAATGCTACACCTTTGCTTGTAACTTATTTTTTCTTTCCATCCCCACTTGCAGGGTTTGAGTCAGAATGCTCACAAGAAGTTGAGATTCGTTCCAGGCATTGTCTACATTGATGGTAAAACTCGAATCACACTTGAAACTGTGCGCAGTCCTACTTGGTTGCAGAAATGAGCAAAAAATGTGTTTTTGTTTTTTCAGAGGGTGGTGCTTTGAATCGATCTATGGAGGAGAGACGACAAACAGTGGCAAAGCTGAAAGATATATTTATAGCCACAGGATTCCCCTTCCACATCGTGCCTCTGGAAGAGGTTCGTGTGATTACTCTGACACTGTCATATGAAATGAGTTCCCTGTTTCTTCACATTAAATTGCTTCAGTCTGAAGTCCCCTTTGAAATCAGATTGATCTAAGTACGGCACGCCTAAAGAGCAAAAGTGTTTCTGGCTGTTGGTATCACTCATACTAGGGTCAAAACGAAGGTGAAAGGTCACTTCGCCTCGCATTTCTCACAGGAGTTTGATCACTGGCTACTACGAAAGGTGCTTTTTATTTCGCGCCATTCTGAGAAGTTAATTGGAGAGAATTAACTGCACAGAGGCTGTTCATTTACTCAGCTGTGCAAGAAGCATCATATTCTGCCTTGCTTAAATGTCCTTTTTAAAAAGAGAAGAGCTCATTACCGACGACAGCCAACGCAAGCGGTTAGTGAAACCTTGACTTTTTAATAGTCCACTGTAAACCATTCGTGCGCTAGACAATCGCGCCATGTTGTTTGTGGATTCACTTAAAAAAAACATTTTTATAAAATATGGGGTGCGCCAGAGTATGTGCTGATAAAAATACAGGGAGTCAGTTTTTCCCGCTGCTGTAAGTTGATTTCATCTGCGTGTGGGGCAGTTGCCTGATGTGCAGAAGGAAATCTACAAAGGGGTATTTTATTTTCGCCACAATTGTCCAATTCAGTCGCTTTTGACTCTTGTCAGTCAGTGTGGCGGTTCTACAGTGCTTTACTGATTTTTCCACTTCTCACCATGTAGGTTCTTGACGTCCCCGGTTCAGTTTTAGCGATGGCTCCTTCTTCCTCGCCGACACAAGCAAGTTCTGACAAAGCATCTGTGGATCGCTTTTTTTGCAATAATAGCTGTAGCTGTTTGACACCAGAGCAGCAGCAGCAGCAGCAGCATGAAACTTCATCACTTTATGTTGAGGAGTCCCAAACTCAGTTGCTGCAGCAGCTTCTTGACTCCTCTAAGACACTGACGACCAAAGCAGAGTTAGTGAGCGTGTTAAGGTATTAAAAAAAAGTCATCATTTATTGACAGTTGGGTCCAAAAGCATTTGTTTGCTTTTGTACACGACCAAAGTGGAATTTAAATAAAACAATGACACTTTCATTTGAACAGTAAACTTTGATTTAGGAGGTTTCACAAAAATGTGGCTTTTAAGCCTCTTTTTTAGAAAATAGTCTCAGAAATATTTTTCTTGATTGCTTAATTTAATTTCCATGATGGTGGTTAGATGATTTCGGTCTGCCCTTGTTGCTGTCAAGACTTTTTTTATTTCTATGTCAGTTTTTTTCCTGGTAAGAGAGAGCAAAGGAGGTGTAGGTAGGTATAGGTAGAGAGAGAGAAATGTTCGTAACTCTTAACATTGTAAAAAGATGGAAGCAGAATGCATTGGTCTTTTTAATTTGTATTTTTTTTTTACACATGCCAAGTTATTGTCACTCATACAACATGCAGTGAAATGTTTCATGTAGATCGAAAGGGAAAAAAATAACCCACTGTGTGTTTTTCCTTAAAGGCAGCATCTTTTAGTGCACACAGCTCGCTGTGAAGGCTACAGTAAATTGATGTTTGGAGACAACTGCACCAGACTGGCGGTTAAACTTCTCATTAGTATATCATTGGGCAGAGGAGCACAGCTTGCTCAAGATACAGTAAGTGTATTTTTTTTTAATCTAAATATTTTTTGGTGAAAAACAACCCCCCCCCCCAAAAAAAATTGCTTTGTATGTCTTTTTTAAGAGTTTCTCGGACTCTCGCTATGGTGACATTATATCATTGAGGCCAATGAGGAACTACTCTGCAAAAGAAATAGCCTACTATAACCATATCTTCAATGTCCCTTCTGTTTTCACACCAAACCTTCACACTAAGGTAAGCTCAATCAATCTATGCCAAAGTTTCAGCTTTTTTGGGAAATGAGAAAAGGTCAAATTTGTGTTAACAAATATAGTAGTGTACACAGTGGTCACAACTTAGGCCGCAAAACATCATTCATCTTTACTGAGACAGTTAAACATAACAAATTCTGATTTGTGGCAATAAAAACATAAAGAACAATGACACGGACTGACAGAAAACATTTAGAATTGTTGATCTGATCAATTCATATTTGACATTCTTACAGATATCGCAGCCGTATGGTTTTTTTTAATCTCGATATTTTGAAACCCGTCTTTTAAAATCTCAGTTTAGGTCCAAATACTTTGAGTAACACCATATTTTAATTTAACTGCATATCTATCCTCTGTCTGCCCTGAATACTGTAATATCAGTTGTGTCCAACAGAGTAAAGAAAAGGCCAGCATCCAGTGTCTGACGGAGAGCTTTGTCACTAAACTGCAAGTTGATTTTCCATCGACTGTCAGCACTATATATAGGTTAGTATGATATTTCCGTTGGTCAATGATACAATACTTGATGTCAGGTCAACCTCTCGAGATTTTTGGGATTATCACAAAATTCTGTGTTTTCACTTCCACACCTGATGAAAATCTTGCTGTGTCCTGAAGAACAAGTGAAAAGCTGCAAACAACTTGTAAGAGTTCATCCTCTGCGAACCCATGCGACAGATGTTTGCTCTGTATGTGTTCTCTGGATACCGCAGTGGGTGAGTATTAGGCCAAACAAAAAAGATAGTGTGTTTCCGGTAACATGAAATTTCAGCATTGGGTCGGTAGGTCGGACAAAGTTTTTTTTTTTAATCTTTTTTTTTTTTCTCCCCATCAAAAATTTCAACAAAATAACCATAAAACATAAAATAAGGAGACGATGAATCCCCCGCTCGCCGCCTAAGGCGGCGAGAGAGTTGGGTACCGGCGGCTGGGTGTTAGGTTCCGAGGTTGGCCGGGTCGCGATGGCACCGGCGGGGAGAGGTCCCTGACGCCGGCCGCAGCCCGGCCTGGACTAGAGTTGCATAGACTAGGCGGACGGTGCTTTAGTTTTCTCCCCGCTCCGGACTCAGGGGGCCGGGGCGCGCCGTCGCCTCCGCTGTCCTCGGTTTTTACTCGGCCCGTGGTGTTCATCAAATAGTTTGCTGATTTTTTTTCGATACATCAATGGATGCTATTTTCTTAACATTACGGTGCGAGCATACGACTGCAACACAGTAAACGCGGTTTAAACTGTCGTCGGAGATCGCGGCCGCCGCCATGATTCAATGTTGTTAACAGACGACAGGGCAAACGACGCACGTGCTCAACGTGAATATCGCGAGAGTTTGCACCGATGTAAACCCTCTACACAAAAATGTAGAGGGTTGTTTGAAAAAAATGACAACCGTAAAGTTTTTTTTCGACGTAGAAATTCTCGGTCGGTCAGGTTACCGGAAACACTACTTTTTTTCTCCGCCTTACAGGTTTAAAATCATGTCAACATTACCAATAGTAGCAAGACTAGGCTAAATCAAAGCTAACCATTTGGGGTTATAAGCCAGTATGTTTCAAGTGCTGGTCCAAAACCGGGTAAATAAAATGTGAGGTTTGTGTCAGGAAGGGCATCCGGCTTAATTCATGGCATCAAACAAATATAAAATCACGAACATGACCTCCATACTAAGTCTGTTGGGAATTGGATTAATGATGACCACCAACTGTTCTGTTGGCGTACAGGGTGCTGGTGAAAATTGTGCTACAAAAACGTATGAAATTGTTCTGTCCTGAGTGAGCTTGTGAAGAATGCACTCATTTAACTTGGAGATAGACAGACTGGAAACACATGAGGCTTATTCCTTAAAAACGCTAGTGCGTGTCATTAACATTTCGTTCGCTGCTAGTCTTAGAACTACTTACGGGAATTTTGGCTTCCCCCCCCCTTAATGACATGTTTTTGTATAAAACACACACTAAAATGAACTAAAAATAATAAATACAACAAAACACAAATAGCCAGTGGCAGGAAAAAGTCCCAATTGAAATATGTGGCTGTAACTAGTAACATTTAGTAATAGTAACATTTAGAATACCTACCATTAAACCAGAGTTCTGGCAACACAAGTTGTGATCTTGTTATTTTGTTGCCGTTTAATTCATCTGTGGTAACTCATCTGTGTCACCCAAATAATGACGTACATGACTGTCTTTGCCAGAAGAAGACCAAGAAAATTTACGAAGAAGAAATCATGCTGTCACTTCGAATACTGGATCGTTGTCTGCTAAGTTGTAAAAAAGTAAATTAAAAAAGAAGAATTACAAGACTGAGCTGAATGTTCGCTATCGGCCGAGATTGCGAACCCTACCACCCATTATGAATGTCTTTGGGGCGATCGAAGGCTTTACCTGCGCTGAGCAGCGACAAAGCTAGATGCTAATGTGAACGTTAGTGTAATTGACCCACTTTGTATTCCTTCTGTTATCAGCAAACCTATCTTGTTTCAAATGCACAAGCACTTCAACTGCCATGATAAGTATGAGCCCATCTTTGACGTCGGTGCCAGCCATCAGTCACTGCATGTGCGTTGAATATAGGTCATAACTTGCACATTTCACAACTGATTTTCATGAAATTTTATTTCACGTCAACGCCAAAGCGTGTGCTATCACTACAGAAAATACATCGTACTTTTTGTTTTTGTGACTACACTTTGCTCGTACAAGCTTTAATGTGGCACGGGCGCATCATATCTCTCTATTTTGCATATCTGTGGTTCCCAAAATGCATTGGATGGTGCATTACACTTAGTTTATGAAGTTAGAAAGACGTTAATGATTTTCACGTGTGTTTACATTTCTTTGATCCTGAATTAGGTAACTCATGAATGTAACCTTTTACCATTTTCTAGAAAATGCTTCAGCTTTCCAGTCCACTCTCATCTCTGAACGCCTCTGCCAGACCAAATGTGTCGGTGCTAACAGTGCTTCATTTCCCAGCCAAAATACAGGTACTGTACGCTTTTTATGACTTCTCAGCAATACATTGGGCCACACCCATTCCTGGGAAATGGGGACCGGGCCGCCCTACAAACATATTCTGTATCTGTAATTGGCAGCCATTATAAATGCATTGGGGCGACAAAAACAAAATCAAACATTTAATTTAAAAAAGAAAGAAAAGAAAAATTATCCAAAACAACAACAGACATAATTTTTATTTTTGTTTGATATTGGTGGAAAAAACATCTGCAACTAGGTTAGTTCACAAGCGCCAAACCGCATGTGGGGCTCCACTGTAGTTGTTAAAAATAAATAAATGAATGAATTAAAAAAAAAAAAAAACCTGGGCTTCAGAATACACCACTAACTCACCAAGAGCACATTTGAGTGCAAACACAGTTGAGTAAAATCATTTGTACTTGTGTTGCAGTGTTCATACAGAAGAGTAGTGCAAAGGGTTTTTTTTCCGAGTGATGCAATTCTAAAAAGTGAAACATAAGACAAAATGGCCAAAAGACACATGGTTCATTCCAGAATGGGAGGACATTTTGGCTTAAAAAAATGCTACAAAGTGGATGATGCAATGGAACAAGCACGTATCATTCTTGAAAAAGAAACCTTCAGTTTTCTGATTTTCTGTGACATATTTATTCATAATAGGGAATAAACTATGAAAGGCTTCATCAGCTCAGATAAGATCAATGGTACAATTGGTACAAAAACATGATTTATTTGATGTTAACAATACATGTCACTGTAATCACAGCGACAAGCTTGCCTCAAAGGTTGCAAAACCAGGCGAATGTTAGCTTTCTCTCAGGAGTAGAAGCTGGCTTTTTTGTACAAAATCATTTCTTGAATTTTCTGTTGCAATTGATGAGGGCACTGACATTACAGATGTTGTGACATTGACCGTCACTGATGATATTCCTTGTGCTGAGAAAGGAAGGGGAAGAAGGGAGGAAATAAAAGATAATCACTAGCTGGAAGAGCTTTCACCATGTACAGCAAGATGTCACCCACTCACGAAGGTTTTCACCCGCTAAGTAGACATTTCTGGGTTTGGAAGCGAAAGAGTCTTGCCCAGTGCCAAACAAATTCAATTTATGAAGCATCAATTAACGATGGTGAAGCCTCACACTTCCTAGCATGCTTTACCATTCTTTACCATACTTAACAACAATGTTCCCTCTAATTTTTTTTGTGTCTAGGCAAACACACAAACACCCTGAGCGGTCCCATGGACCACTGTGAGCAACATGCACCATGCAAATTGTGGTCACGCAGTATCATATGCATCATATACATTCAAGTTACATGTTTTAATTAAAACAATAAAATTATGGCAATAGTTTCTATCAAAGGACTTCTTTATTAAGTGTGTTTGTCCACTTTCAGAAAAAACTCCAAAGTCATGTAACCAAAAGTGTAGCATATTAACATAGCTGTTTTAACAATGTTTTGTATAAATTATGGCAAAACTTGAACTGCCATGAACTGCAATGTGACAGTGTCCTGACTGAGGCACCATCGGAGGTTAGCATAACCATTCTCTGTATGTCCACTTCATGGAGTAAAACTGAGTTATTGCCTGCACGATATCCTGACCAGCGCATGTTGTCAGCTGGACTATTCCACCAAACACAGTTTTATGATTGAAACTATTTTTCTCTCTGTATTTAATGTACAAGACGAGTATTTTGTGCACCGTTATGTCTGTGCTCTTATCTACTATAAGGGTGTGCCAAGGTGCATCTTTAACACTGCACATCGTCTCTTTCGGTACTACAGTATTGCATTGATTGAATCCACAAATTCAAAAGCATAGTTTTTACTTCGTTAGTCTTCTCTCGGTCTTTGGCGCTCTCTGCCAATAACGTACGGATCCCCATTCCCATCTTGCATCGTTGTACAATTTTTACTGCATTCAAATGACTTTTGTGCTGAATGTGACGCTTGAGGTAGTCCAGTTTTCATTCGCTCCACACTTCTTTCGCTTGCTATTTTAGCTTCGCAACACGTTTTGCAGAGTACAGTATACCTTTCTACAGTGAACAACGTAATGACGTAAACGCGTGAGCGAATCGCGTCAAATAACAACCTGGAACAGCCAATCACATGTTGCATAATACAGAATAAATAATGCATTTATTTTGTTTTCAATACTGGTTGGATTTTTACCTTGTGCGCAGCTCAGATAGTTTGTGCGGAGACACACAGGGGGCAGTGCGCATTTGCTCACAAACCATGCTTAGAGGGAACAGTGCTTAACAATATTTATTTGATACGGATGAAATATCAAATGCTTGTGTTTCGGTCCAAGCTGGGTTCGAACACATCGTGGGTTTGCGGCAGGCCTCGCGCCGACTACGGCACAAGGAAGCAAGATAAATATATTTATCTTCGTTCTTTGTATTACTGTTTAACTTTTGTTCCTTGTGTTGTTCATTGCAAAAAACTTTGCTTCGCACTTTGGACATTGTAAGAGTCATTTTTTTTTTTTTTTTGTATTTTGTGTACGTGTTTACTAAAATGTTAAATGTTTATTTTGATTTCATCCTCTTTGGCTCATTTGTTTTAAATTCATGCTGACCAGGGAGAGGATAAGCGGTATGGATAATAGATTGATGGATGTTGTTTTTATTTGTCAAAATTTCTGTGTTGAAAAATAAATGTTAAATCATTTTTTTAATTCAAAAAAATAACAATAATAAACATTCAGTACTACAAGCAACCGCACAAAAGTGCCGAGAATTTGGACCATTTGTGACCAGTATCGATTTCCAGATACTGAGAATCGGAACCCATCTGGTTCAAATGTGAAAAGTACCCAGAATGCAAGGCAGTCAGTCACTTTTCCAAATAATTTGGGAGGACTCTGTGTACACGTTTCGATCTACAAAGAGGTACATTAAAAAAAAAAAAACTTTGTGTACACATTTCGATCTACAAAGAGGTACATTTAAAAAAAAAAAAAAATGACATGGGTTGAGGCCGGGACAAAAGAACTGTTTCCACACGAGCGCAGTTGGTGAATGAGGCTCAGTGTTACTCAATTACATTTTTTGTCAGATTTGTGGTGTTCCATTGCATCATCCACTTTGGCTCATTGCCCTCACCCACGGCACTGGAATAGAATAATGGCAGTGCAATGGGGAATATAAAGATAAGAGCTCCAAATAGAAGGCACATCGGATTAGAGGGCGCACTGTCGGCTTTTGAGAAAATTGAATGCTTTTAGGTGCACCCTTTCGTGCGGAAAATCCGGTATTTATTGCACCGTGTTAATTAACATATCATTTAAACCACAGGATATAGAGGATTTAATTTGTTTGTTACCTTGCTCGAAGTTCACACTTCAAGTTCTATCGTCATTTCAATGAGCAACGCAGTAGCAATTTGTCATTTCATGGTCACTCATTTTGGAGCATAATGACACATTAAAGTTTTATTGATTCACCCCCAAAAAAGTTAATGTATTTACATTGAAATTTATTTGCTTCCAGAATTGAGAGGTCCCAGTACACAATGTTGCTCGAAAGGCAAAGGAGAATATTGTGATAGACCTATGGAAGACAGAGGCTGCTGTTCTGGTGTCAGGTACATTTTATTTTATTTTTTATCTCTATCAAACGTGTTTGATTTTGCTCACTTCCATGTAAAAAGTGTATTGTAACTTTGTGCAGAAGAATGTTTCCACTATGCTGTAACTCATATGCCATAGGGTCCCAGACACAACTGATATCAGAGGCCTGCTGTGTTACAGTTGTCAGTTGACCATCAAAGACATGGTGAGTGACTATAAAATGAATATACAGTGGGAGAAAAAAAAAACTACATGAAGCCTTTGGAATTTCTTTCATTTCTGGGGAAAATTGTCATGAAATTTTGTCTGCTCTTCGTCTGTATCACAAGAACCATCTGCTTGAATTAACGCCTAGGGATGGGTGGTGTTAAGACTTTAACCACATTACTACTCTTAACTATGCTGTTTATTGAGATGGCGCTTGAATGGTATTCTTGGCAAGTTTATTTGTATAGCACACAAGACAATTTTAAATGCTTTCCATAAAACAAAAGAATTACGGAAGAGAAACAAAATATGATCACAACGTTGAAGAAACCACAATAAAAGCATATAAAATTAGATTACTATGATTAAAACTAAGCATCAGTCTAGCTAAATTAAACGATAGTGTGCAAATGGCGATTAAAACAGGAGAGTAAAATATAGATTTGCGTGAATGCTGCAGTAGACTATGTTTTCAGTCCTAATTTAAATGTATTGACAGTTTGTGCATTTACTAAAAAAAATCGTGAAAGTGAAAATATGAATAAAAAGCGTGCGGGATTTAAAAAAAAAAAGTGAATCGTAAATTATCCACAAGGGGGCACTGTTTTAGTCAGTGTACAGGGTCACACTGTTAAAAAGAGTGGTCAAGTCTTGTGAAGGCGATGGGCCGCAAAAAGTGATGTAGTGGTAGCACAAAAGCACCTTGTATGGTGATGTGATGTATTTCGAAAGGAAAATTAGTGTTGGGTTTAGTTTCGGGTAAATGTAACAAAAATCTGTGATATTAAATTCAACCAGGAAAGTTCGCCAGACTTGAAATGGACATGAACAATTTTAGTTTCACATCGTCTCACACAAAATGAATCTCTGTTTATAATCTTCTTTCTTCCAATCCACAAATCATATCATGACGCTGATCAAAGACTCAGTAACTGCTTTACATTAATATTACTGTATATTTATATTTACTGTACATAATTATGCTAGTAAGTAGTGTAAGCCTATCATCATCGTCTCACAAGATGAATCATGTGTTAAGATTTTAAAGGTTAGGACCCATCTATACATATGAGTAAGAATGAAATACAATGTCAACTTTGGGGAATCAGTCGAAAAGGTACAGTAGATGACCTGCGTTGTCAGTATGACTTGCAATCCAACTAGAGTTCATGTAAGTGAAGGGTGTCCAAACTACCGCCAAGGAGCCATTTGTGGCCAGCCATCCGTTTTTCAGCGGCCCGCGACATGGCAAAAAAAAAAGATATTTAACATGGGCCACTAGATTATTTAAAAAAGGTAAAGCGAGTGAGAAGGGAGGTTGTCAAAAAAATAAATGCCATGACCATGAATAAATTTGTTTCTATACTGTAGAACTTTTCTCTATATTCGAAGATACAAATAAACAATTTATGAGTGAAAGAAAAACAATTTATCTCCAAAACATGTAGTGAATAAAGATAATCAAAGGCAAAAAAAAAAAAATTCCTTCCACTGTGTGCTCTATGGCTGATTCATAGAAGACATCACATTCATGATCCTCAAGTAGCTGTTTGAAAAATGGTGGCTTTACTCCAGTTTGTTGTTTTTTGGGTTCTGAATGTGGAAATAGGATTCGGCTACTGTTTAGTGCAGAGCTGGATCTACTCTGCGAGCCACCCCAAAAACTTGGAACAATCCTCAACTATTTGCCTTTAACAGAAAGCTGATGAAATTAACTAGACAAGACAAAGATTTATATAATTGCTTTCTTGACTGACTTGAGCATGTTTCAAAAAGGTGAAGAATTTAAAAAATTTTCTGTATGCAGCCTTCAAACGAAATTTGGACACCCCTGACGTAAGGTAACTAAAACAGAGGTCAGAATGACATATGGACGGTTCGACATGCTAAGCGACATTGCATCACTCCACAAACATGTTTATTTCAGGAAGTTATCAATGGCACTTTAGCGAAGTTGCCATTGTCAGGGTGACATTATGTAGCTCCATACAATACAATACATCTTTACTTATATTGCACTTTCACAACAACTTCAGCTGTAACAAAGCGCTTTACAAAACAGTTTAAATAACATAATAATATAACACAACACAACATAAAACACGGACAGTCAGGCAATCTTAAACCCTTATCCTGCATACGCTTTGTTGTTTGAAGCAGTTCTAGATGAAAGAGGAGATATTCAAAGTGTCCTTTCACCAGTGAATCAGAGACGTCATGCTCAAAATGTGCACAGTAGGTTACATGCTAAGTTTGTAAACAAGAAGCTGCAGTGTCCATTGACAAAAAAAGAGATTGGTTCACTTCTCCTGTCCTATGTAAATCCGTTTTAATTCCAAGCGGCAACTCTTGAGTTCCAAATACGCATCCGCGCCCCGCGCCTGACGCTCCTCTCTCCTCATCCTCGGTCCACAAGCCATCCATCCACCTGCACCAACGGGTCTGTGAAAAATGCTTCCCATTACAGGTGCAAAAAACACAAGCACCCTATCCAGTGGCGACAGTCAAATAGTGCCGACATTCCTCCTAATCAAAATCAGTGCTGGGATACGCGTGCTGCCGAGAAGGAATGGAAAATAACCCGCATAACTTCAGGGATATTACAAAATGTCAATGTTATGATTAACACTTTCATGACCCAATAATGATATCCTGGAACCTGATAACATGGTAGGCTGTCCACTGTAGTAACCGCTGTATCTGAAAGGGTTCATAATAATAGAATGGGCGACTATTGGAAATGACTTCACTAATTTCAAAGAAACCCGTCACTTCAGCTACAGCATATAAACAGCACAAAGAGAGCCTAGTTCGCTCTCTTTCTCATCGACGCTCAAGCCATGAGGATGCTTTGACAGAAGAGATTTGTAATCTTCTTTTTCAAGTTCAAGTCAACTTTATTGTCAAATGCAACATACAGCACAGATGAAATTACTTTCCTCTCAACCACAGGAGAGAGAGGAGTCGGTGCGGGTGCCCGCGCCACCATCAAAAGAAGTTTGATCTCAATTCCACAAAGTTCGTTTAGCAAATGAGCAGCGAGACTATAACATTAGTCAAAGTTACATTTCTACAATTTTCAATATGACAGTATGCTTCTGCAATAAAAAAATGACTTCATTTTAAGGCTTCTAACATGTTAACCAGAGGTGCCAGTAATTATGGAGGACAACTGCAGATGAACCGACCACATTTTGTGACCAATTTAAGCAGAAAGTGAAGAAACTCCAAAGGGATTGCATACTTTTTTATGCCACTGTACTCTGATCTCTCCGTCTCATATTTATCTTTTGATGTTAAACCTAAATATTTGGGGTCTGAAGCAAAAATAAAGGACTTGGCCATACTGTTTCAGTACTTTTAGAGGATGTTGTGTAACATGACTGATGATGTGAATATGGACTCATCTGGCTACAGCAGGAATAACGTTTCCCTTCCGCTTCACTTGTCTTTCAGTCTTCAGTAGATTGTCTGCCTCAATACATTTTGTCAGAGGCTCAGATAAGGCAAAGGAGGTAAGCCGTGAGTTTGTATTTTCTGGTTTCATATTTCATTCTCTGCATGCGGGAATGTATGAATGGGAAAAGTGACACAAATCAAGGAGAAAAGGTCCAATGACCAGGGATTGCCAGTTTCACTCTAATGTATCTCTTATTTTTTTTCTTTAGGTCTCGTATGAGAGAGGAGATCAGTGATTTTCTGCTGGATTAGTTAAGGGCGTTAAAGGTTTTGACCGAACGGAAGTGGAGCCAAATGATTATCTTGAGCAGGAACACTGTTTTCTATCTTAAAGAGCAATGTTTGTTTGCTACTCTGTTGCATTTAAAATGTGTCATGTTCAGTGGGTGGTTGGAAGGGGTGCAAAAGCAAGCATATAATAAAAAAACAACCAGCATATGTGGTCATATATATATATATATTAGGGTGGTCCATTTTGGAAAAGTTTGTCGGATTCGTCGGGCCGGGTCGGAAATCTTGTCGATACTATGACACAAGGATGTGTGCAAAATTTTATTCCGATCGGATAATTTTATCCCGTCCCGCAGAGCGACCAAAGTTTCCCCTATGGAAAGAATGTTACGGGGCTGAATGGTAGTACGGTTTCTCCCGTACAGTAAGGATTTTGTTTTGCTCAGTTCGCACTTGCAATAATTCAAAGACGGAAGACAGGAACGCATGTATTGCAAAAAAGGCAACCGTGGTTATCCTTCAACACTGGTGAGATTGTTGGTCCATGTTAACTGGTCCATCTGTCTATCTGTCCATCTGTGTATAATGTCCATCAACACTAGTGACACTGTTAGACCGCAAAAAAAACGAAATCCATCCGGCCGTTCTTTATGATTTGCACTCTTTATTGAACGTTTGGTATTGAAAGCCATTCAGAGTATTTTTCTTCACACGCGAAGGAAACCCAATGTAGCAAAAAAGACTCTATTCTTAATGCATTGAATACATCATTTACTGGGCATGATGAAGAAGGTTACGACACGTGAAGTAGCACAATGTGTCCCCGAGGGGGTGTTTGGCTCTTTGCCTAATACCACAACTACCGTTTTGAACAATCGTTTTACAGCGTGGACCAGAGTGACGCATTAACCTCTGCTCTTCATGGGCTGCCGATGCCGGAGTACATTTAATTATGTCAATTTTTCTCTTTCTAACGAAGAAACGTTGATTTTCTTTTTCCGGGGGGCTTTGAGGTCAGTCATGCTCGACCGTCCACGTTGCGCTGTTATAACAAAAGGACAACAACCAAAGGCGCTTTTCTGTTTTTGTTTTTTTCTTGGCATGCCGTCCAGTTGCTCCACTGTGGTGCCATCGCGTTCTCAAACAATATTTTGTAAATATCAAATGGTAGGAAATTTGTCTGGTGGAAATAGTGTTGGGAATGTAGTCAGGGCCCACCCTTATATATATATATATATATATATATATATATATATATATATATATATATGAGAGAGAGAGACCCAATGGTGTGACAAAGTGTTTGCCCCCGTCCTGATTTATTTATTTTTTATTTTTTGGAATATGTTTGTCACTTAAATGTTTCAGATCAAACAAATTTAAATATTAGTCAAAGATAACACAAGTAAACACAAAATGCTGTTTTTAAATTAAAGATTTTATTATTAAAGGGAAAACAAAATCCAAACCTACATGGCCCTGTGTGAAAAAATGTTTGCCCCCTCGACCTTATAGCTGGTTGGGCCACCCTTAGCAGCTACAACTGCAATCAAGTGTTTGAGATAACTTGTGGTGAGTCTTTCACAGTGCTGTGTAAATATATATGTGTGTGTTTAAACACGTTTGGGAAGAGGTTTTGTTTCTTGTCCCAATATTGCTGTGGCGGTTCATCACGCCGGTGGATATTCCCAGGTACTTTTTCACCTCAAAAATGGAGTCCCATTGCTCATTTTGTAAATAAAAAAGCGTTGATTCAATTAAAACACGTTGCACAGGAATCATATCCTCAATTAATCCTCATTTACTCATTCTCGCATGGAACACAGAAAGATGCCACATACCAGCACGTGGACCACACTTGGAAAATCACTGGTTTAAGAAGACGAACTAAAATTTTGAAGAAATATTATCCATCGTGTGTGTGTGTGTGTGTGTGTGTGTGTGTGTGTGTGTGTGTGAGAGAGAGAGAGAGAGAGTGTGAGGGGGCCAATTTTGAAATTGTTCAACTGCCAACAGTATACATTTTTAAAAGTTGTGCGGCAAACACAAAGTTAGCAGAGCTGGCTTTTGTCTGCCTTTTAACTTTATCTGGGTGTGACAGTCACCTTGTACTTAGCTGGTTGAAGGACCACACCAAATTTACCCTCCAGGGAGGGAGGAGGTTGACCGGGTGGGGTCGAGAATGTGAAGTGCTGAAGAATCCACGAGAGGAAGATAAAAAGTTCCATCTTCGCCAAGGCCTCGCCAACACACACCCTGACCCCGAAACCAAACGGCATGTAGCTGGATGATGGGTTGATCAGACCTGTGCCGTCACTATTCAAAAATCGGCCTGCAGCACGGGGAAAATGGGGGGTTGATTAAATGACAGTTCAAACATGAAATTTTTGTACAGTCTCAATAATTCATATGTTATATATGTTATATCCTATATAATATATAGGATAACATTATTACCTCAAGTAAACTGCAAAGTTCAAATGTATTTAGTTGGCCCTAATCAATGGAATTTTGCACAAAGAAAACACAGATAAGCATTGTTTTGAGTGTAACTGGACAACATGACACAGTGAAATGGTGAGGAGTTGCATTACCAACTGTTAAAATAAGTGTGCTCAAGACTATTGAGGGAAATCAACCAAAGAAGAAACTCAGTATTCTCCAGCTCAAGCTACGCCTTCTATCGGGGTCGGCGACCCGTGACTCGAGAGCCGCATGCCGCTCTTGAGCGCCGCCCTAGTGGCTCCCTGGAGCTTTTTCAGAAATTTTTGAAAATGGAAAAAATGGTGGAAGGAAATATATTTTTTGCTTTATTATGGTTTCTTTAGGAGGACAAACATGACACACACATTCTTAACGCTTTCCATTGCTGGAAAAATGTGTAGCATTCAATTTCAACATTTCTGTCAACGAAGATTTGCGTCATAGCCTGCGACACACTTTTCTATAAGCAGGGCGGGATGCCATGCAGTTGGCTGTTGTGAAAAATAAATGGCGTTTCATGTACAATTCACCGAGGGCGCTGGCAAAGAATAGCAATCTGAAGGACTGAGAAGCATTTTAAAACGGTACACGTGAGCTACGATAGTTAACACGCTGCAAAAGTGTGTCCCATGCCTCGTTCATCTTAGCGGCCGTGATGGCTGTTGCTCATGATGGCATGCGTGTGTCAGCGCGTGCGTATGCGCATGTGTGCGCTAACAGGTCAATCGCGGGAAGTTGGTTGATCGAAAAGTAGATCTTGGGTCAAAAAAGGTTGGGCACCCCTGCTCTACAGATGCACTGTAGTGAAAGAAAACATTTAATCACGAAGGCTCATTGTATATTTGTTGAGCTTAATGTTGACCTTAAAATGTTGCTGATGTTTGGAATTAATTGACAAAGATGAAAACGAAGGACATATTTTGCTATACTTTTAGTTTTTTTTAATAAGTTTTGTAAACATAAAATTCTGATTTAGTCATTGTTTCTTTCAGTCATTTCGTTTTGATGCACAAATTTTCTGCCAAATAGATGCAAAAGTGTGGAGGAAGAGGAAGCTAACTCATGCTGTGCTAAATAATTTCAAACACTGGGCTCTTTGGTCATAACATCTGCTCTGTGCCCAAATATTGCCGTTGAAGCTTTCATTTTGAATGAACACTATAGTTGTAAATGTTTATTGTGTGCTGTGAATTGTCTCTTCATAATTTGTATTGTTTTCACCTCTTACCCTATCAAGTTAAATTCCCCGCCACTCTGTCTCTCTAAACAGAAAAAGTGCAAAACACGACCAAACGTGATGTAAATTCCAGCTGGTACTTGATAAGATAAATTTGGCAGGACGTTAGGATCCAATATCTTTGTGTCCTTTCAGTTCTTGAAATTCCTTCAAATAGTTTGCCTTATCCTTGCTGTTTTGCACGTCGCGGTGTTGTCCTACCCATTTCCTCTTCACTGCAGCACTTGTGTAACCGGCCCCTGATCATTTGAATCAGTTGACATACAAAACATCCCGGATTCTGCCCCTCGGGGGACCGGAATTGCTCACCTCTGGTATGTATCATTTTATTCCTGTCATGAAGGTTGTTTCTCACCTGGGTCAAAAAGCTCGGGCTGTTTCCATTCTTTCTCATCAAAGTGCAGTGACCACAGGTTGACGATGACTCTGGTCCCCTTTCGCACTTTGAAATTTCCAAGGCTAGAAAAAAAAACAAACATACAGTTGAAATACAAATTAAAACGGGGGCGGGGGACATCTGTCAATGTGATTTATATAGGCCACAATATTTTCTTTTTTTTTTTTTGTCCTGAATCTTTTGCTTTTTTTGGGCCATATTAAACTTTTACTTCTGGTCTGATTTTTTTTTAATCGTATTCTTTGGGTTTTTGGCTTTCTTAAAGAGGGCTCTTAATGTACAGTACCTGCATTATTGACATTTATCTCTTGTGTTCTGTAGGGCTGTTTTTTAGGCAAAAAAAGATGTGGGTCCCTATTTTCCTTTCGGCCGCAATTCTTGAGCAAAGCGCAGTCGAACTGTGTGCATCAGTGGAGTTTTCTTTCCTTTGGTATTTTGCTCACCTTTGCACCAGCAGAAATAGGAGCAACGGGGCATTTGCGCCTTTGTTCCCCATTTTCTGCATGGAACATGCACCGAGTTGCCTCAATCTGCCGTCACTCAACCATGGCGACACCGACCGTGAATGGCAAAACGTAATTTACAAGAATATAAACATATATATGTATCTTGGTTTATTTATTGTTACGTTAATTTAGTTCTTCAACATAACTTCACATAACATCACGTGATTTGTGTTGACTGCGTGAAGTTGTGCCGCAATCTTCCCGGATGAAGTTATTTAGCGAAACATATGAAATGCTTATAAGAGATTCCTTTATTGACATAAGTGAAGCAAATTACGATGACAGGTTTGCTGGAGGTCAAAATGTGTTTTGAGGAACAAACCCCAAAACAATGTACAGTATTGCCATCAGCTGTGATTGTTGTTTACTGGTACCTGGAATGCTTTCAACTGATACAATACAAGAGGGATAAATGCGACTTCTCACCATCCTGGAACGCAGCTTGAGTTCCCTGTTTTCTTTCTGTCTTTGTCGGTTCATTGTGTTTGCTGCTGGAGTCACGTACAGTGATCCCTCGCTATTTCGCGGTTCGTTTATTGCGGCTTCAGTGCATCGCGGATTTTTTCAAACATATTCATAATTTTTTTTTTCTTCATATACATGGAGTACGGTACTGTATATGTTGCTCTATGTGACTCGCTGTTGTTTTGCAGCTTCTCGCGGACTTAAAAAAAAAAAAAATTTACCTGTATATGTTAATTGGTCGCTACTTCGCAAATTTTCGTTTATCGCGGGTGGTTTTGGTCCCCATTAACCGCAATAAACGAGGGATTACTGTATTTCCCCAAGTTGTGTCTTTTTTACATTTGTAGTTAGTTCATCACCAGTTTTGGTTTGTTACTTTGAATCTCATTTTGGACTTTTTACATTTTGGATTCCTCACATTACCTTGTTTGCCTTTTTGTTCTTCAGAAATTCATTTTTAAGAAAATGCCTTTTTTTTTTTTTTTTTTGGCATCCTTGCTTTGCATTTAGGTCAAAATTCCCAACCAGGCAAAACCATATCAATATATCCGCGAGTGAACGCTCTTCTTTGCTTTTGGGAGCTAATGTGTGATCACACACAATTCCTGCCTCTGAGGCACACCGCACTCAGTACGACCAAAAACTATTAAGCCTTTCAGAGATGAATAATGATAACCTGTAATCGATAACATAACAAGATGTCCACTGTAGTGACCGCTGTCCCTGAAAGGGTTAAAATGCCAGATTTTTTTTTTTTTTCATCTTCATGTGCGGGGTCGGTAAGAAATATTTTAATGTGAAAAATCGCAATCAAAAGATTGTTGTGCTGACCCGTTTCAGACCTTATTATTGGGACACATTCACTCTTCTCACACCTCAGGCCACGGTATAATGCATCCATCCCTCCATCCATCCATTTTCTGATCCGCTCATCCTCACAAGTGTCGCGGGACGTGCTGGAGCCTATCCCAGTTCTTTTTGGACAATAGGCGGGGATACCCTGAACTGGTTGCCAGCCAATTGCAGGGCACATAGAGACAAACAACCGCTCACACTCACACCTAGGGACAAGTTTATAGTGTTCCATTAACCTGCTACACGTTTTTGGAATGTGGGAGGAGACCGGAGCACCCGGAGAAAACCCATACAGGCACGGGGAGAACATGCAAACTCCACACAGGATGGCCGAAGCCGGAATTTAACCCTGCAGCTCTACACTGTGAGGTTGACGCGCTACGCAGTTGACCACAGTATAATCGTAAAGTATCATTTTAGAGGACATAAGAAGGTCTGCCGTTATTCTTTCTTGGTCAGCAAGGGGCA